TGAGTTATACATACATATAAATATATAATACATATGTATATATATTTTGAGAAAGGAAAACGAAGATAATACTTTTTTTGCTAGTTACAAAGATAATACTTGCATGCACGATAATAATGATTGTATGTACCGTCGGAATAGTATTGGAAGCTAGCCGGTATTGCTGCCAGCAAAAAGACCAGGATCACCGTTGTCCAGTAGTTTTCCATTCTGAGTGTTTGATTTGGCTCTCAAACTTTGGGTGAAGGAATTTCTTATAAATAGATAATTCCAACATATTGGTTTTAGAAGTTTAATCAAAGAAACTTACATAAATATATATATATATATATATATATATTAACTTGACTTGCACGGTTGCACCTGTAATGTACATATCGTTGGAAAAAACGAAGATTCTTTTAGCATCAACAAATTTATCCCATAATTATATAGAGAATATACCTATCACATTGATGATTCCTCATGTCTCTACTTTGTCTCATCCTACGTTTTTTTCTCCTCCAGTTTTGTTTGAATGGTTCAAGCTGTATAACCATTTATTATTTTCAGAAAGCTGCATATATGTGTCTATTTGACTTGGATGCTGTTGGTGTATTTTTTTTCTGCTTGTCGTTTTACACCTCTCTTTCTATATTAGATGATCTTTCGTTGAATACTATATTTTGTTATATTCATGACACTGTTTCATAAATTTAAGATTGGGAATAATAGTAATAATAATAACATAGTTAGCAGTTTGGATATGCATGGTCACCAACAACGAACTTTCCAAGAAACAAAGAATTTTTTGTTTTTTCATATGATGCATCTATTTCCCATCATTTTACAACCCAAAAGTATAACCTTGTTTCTCAAATGTTTCAACTCTACATAGAAAAAAATAAAAAAATGGAAACCTTCCCTTCAAAATCTAGCATCTATAATATCCTTTGATTCACGCATTTTAAAGCCAAAAGGAATGCAACTGTTGTGAATCTCTGAGTGGAAGCTACTCTTAATTCTCAAACAGTCATTTTGGCCTTATGAAATGTATTTTTGTTGATTCAGGATTCAGAAGTAGTCAAGACCAGGCCTTTCACTGCTGCCATTTGGCCCTCTAGAAGCTCCCTTATTTGCTTAAAATTCTATCAGATATGTACAATCTTCTTCTTCCTGATACAAATGGAAAGATCTTAATAAATACATCACCGGCAATAACTAGAAATAATAGATACACACATTCACATGAGTTAAAAACCTCAAATTCTATTGTTCTCTTTAGCACATAATATATATATATATATATCTAACAGAAAAATAACTACTTATTCTTCTATCATAAAACGAATTTGAATATACAATGTCAATAAAGAAATGGGAGAATCCACAAGAAATATTTACTCACGTCTCCGGTTGCAGCAGAAATTAGTGATAACACGGTCGCAGATGCCTCTTCGTAGTCTGTCAGGATCTTCTAATTTGTCCTGCAAAATTTGTAGGTTGGAAGAAAGTACATACAGTGATATGAAACTACACACGCACCTCTTTTAATAATAGAAGTACAATCAAGCATGGTAAGATAAATAAGCATTTGTCAGTAAGTATGAGAAAAAAAATGTTTTTGAGTGGTATCCTGAAGATCTTTTAGCAATTAGCGAAAGAAATATTCATAGCGGGGAAGAAATAAGCATATATATACCTCTAGCCGAGTAATATCAACAGAAATGGCCCTTCCAGGAGTTTGAAGAGCTTTATGATTAAGCTATTCACAAAAAATTAAATCCATGTTTGTAAACGGACCAAGGAGATTTAGTACATGCAATACAAATTAACTAAAGTACTCGAAATCATGTACCTGCAAGTACTAATTATCTTGGACCGAAGATGACGAAATGTTGAACTGGACAAGCAAAGCTCGATGAGAGCATCGGCTAATTGATCGCTAATCATCTCACAATATTGGTGCGACATATCTTTCCATTAATCTAGATTTTCACTAACGCATAAAGCACATGAGGCAAAGGACTTCAACTCGCCGGGAAAGTTGTGTTTAGAGAGATGTACTCAGTGGAGCCATTAGAACGCTAATAACCTTTGGGGTTTTGTGGATTATTGTGAAGGCTTCTTAAGCTAATTTCATTGATTAAAAACGTACACATTTATATGAGCAGAGCCGAAAGTTCAATAATTCAGTTACACAATATTTTTACCTTGAAAACATGGAACCAACAAATACAAAAACTGATTGCAAGTCACACATACTGATGTAAAATAAAGAGAAAGAAATGAAATTAGAGAAGAGAAAGAGGAGGAATTAGAGAGAAACGAGAGAAATAGAAGAGTAGTTAGGGATTTAGAAAATAATTGAGATAGAAGGTTGACAGAGAAGAGAATAAGAGGGAGAAACAATTCTGAAATGCAATTCAATATTCAGTCATAGTCTGAATTGATATGACAATGTAGCAAATTTATAGGCTTATTACAAAACCGAACTAGGAAGCTAATTAAAAGCATAAATTCATAAAATAAGAACAAATAAGTGAGAATTCATTATAATAAATCTAATTTATTCGTGATCCACACCACATACAAGTTGATTTTCAAAATCAAATCTAATTAGGAGTGCAGTTATCTTTGTGTTTTCGGATAAGGCATACTAGACTCAGAGAACAACATACAGAGAAAACATAACAAGGCCAAAGAACGTTTTGAAAACCGAAAGATCAGTGCTCGACCGTACAGCCTTGGAAACACCGATCACAGAAAACACTTCCAAGCCATTAAGGAAGGGCGGCGTTGTTGCTCCCTCGGCTACAGATATGGTCAAATTGGCCGTACCACCTGTGACATTAACCGGACATACTGATACCACCAAACGTGAATCCATTATAGGGAACTGGGTGATGTTCACCAGCTGGCCATCAACGAAGATATCGAGCTTAGTGGTTTCACTTTCTTCCATGAACGGATGGACAGTTGAGGCGTCGAAATACAAAACGAAATATGCCAAGACTTGATATTTTTCGCGGAAATTGATCGGTAAGAAGATGGACTCAGAGGCATTATTGGCCACGATTGCAGTTTCTAGCACCGCACTAGGAGGGTAATTTTCTGCCACTAACCAGGTCCAACCAATAAAATCATCAATGTTGCGATATCTTGAGACTTGTTCTGGCTTCCAAATTCTGCTGTACAGATCAACACAGAGGGGAAGGCGTTCCCTGCAAATTCCATGTTGTAGACAAGTAAGAAAAAACAAGTAAAGGGTCAAGTACTTGCACTTATTATTTTTTTAATTATTTTTTTAGGTTTTTCACTTACGGGACACTTTGATTTGCACCGTAATTGATTCTGCTTTCGAAGTAGAGAGCCATATTTTTGGTCATCAATCTGTATGTCGTTTCCTCAACGGGCGCTGCTTCAAGGGAAGAAATGAAAGGGATCTGATTTGCTTGTGTTTGAATCAAGCACACATTAACATGTCCCTTCTTTCCTGTTGTAAAAATGAATTCGTGGTAAATCGTATCGTTGCTTAGAGAAGTTGTCACTGTCACGTTTATGCCAGTGCCTTGTACCTCAAGGCCAAATGTTGGCGGCTTTTGAAGGTTGTCATAGTTTCCATACAAAAAACCGGCACGAAAAGGTAATTGGAATGATTTTCTAATGGCAGATTGTAGCAATTCTTGGGGCCGCTCGGAAAACAGCGAAGCGTTTTCATTTCATCACGTATAGTGCTTATGGAGACGAGCTTTTTTTCTCCGGCTTGTATGTAGCTGTCGTCAGTTTCCCATGTCTTCCCAATGCTTCCATCATAAAATGTGTTTGCTGCCCCACAATCAATCACTATCCACTTATATCCTGAAACAACAACAAGAACAAAACATGATCTCAATTGTAGTTGCTTGCTTGCTTGTACTGTGCCATCTCCTATATCATACGCAACAATACCGGTTAGAGCGCGTTACTGTGTCACATTTTTCTTTCTATGGGGAAAGGAAAACAAAGATAATATTTGGAGCCATTTGTGAAAATAATGTAATAAGAAAGTTTTATTAGTAAAGTTTTTGATTATTTTGCATGCACAATAATAATGTTGTTGCTCGTGTGCATGCGTACTTATTTTTTTCTTGGGAGTCAAACTTAAAACATTGGTACCTCTGCAATAAGGCGTTAGGTCCTGTTGGAAGCTAGGCGGTACTGCTGCAAGTAAAAAGACCAGGATCACCGTTGACCAGTAGTTTTCCATTCCGAGTGTGTGTGATTTGGTTCTCAAACTGTAGGCGAAGGGATTTCTAATGAACAGATGTTTCTAATATGGTGGTTTTTATAACTTTAAATATTTGAAAATAAAATAATGAGTTTTTTAACTCAACTTGCATTGTTGCAGCTATGATACATCATTGGAAAAAGTAATGAATCCGTCTATAGTTTTTACAATGTTAAGATAATATGCCTGTCATATTGATGATATTTCCATGTCACCATTTATTACTCTCAGATAGCCGTGTACCTGGTCATGTCCATTTGCACTATGATGCTTTTGGTGTGTTTTTCTCCGAGTCGTTTTAGCCGACTCCTTTTACATCAGATGATCTATCATTGAGTACTACGTTTTGTTGGATTCATGACAGTGTTTCACAAATTTTTTTAATAGGGTATTTGACATATTTACCCCCAAATTTATAGGAGTTTAGCAACTTAACCTCTAAACTTTTGCCAATTTTCCCCCTTCAATTTGCAAAACAGTTCCGATATGCCCCATTTTATCAATTTCGCTCTGATTTTTGTCAAATTTAAGGGGTTGAAAGTTAAAAAAATAAAAGATTTATGTTACAATTTGAATTGTAATGTTTTAATTTTTCATTGATCGTTCTTTTTCGTCGCCAATTTAACACAATCATCAACAAAATGCACATTAAAACTGTTTTGCAAGTTGGAGGGATAAATTGGCAAAATTAAAAGTTGAATGGACAAGTTATCAAACCCCTACAAGTTCGGGGGCAAATATGTAAATAACCCAATCTAACACGGTTAGCAATTTAGATAGAGATCGTGACTAACATTAGAATTTCCGAAAAACAAAGAATTGTCTTGTTCCATCATACAACGTTATCTGTTCCCACCATTTCACTCGAAAGTATGACCTTGTTTCTGAAACGTTTTAACTCTACCCAAAAAAAAAAAAAAAAAAAAAAAAGGAAGACTACAGCTCAAAATCTAGCACCAATAGTATGTATCCGTTGATTGTCTTGTATCCACCCAGAAACTTGATTCAAGATTGAGAAGCGGTCAAGACCAGGCGTTTCAGGGCTGCCATTTGACTCTCGAGAAGCTCCCTTTTGCTTAAAATTCTATCAGATGTACAGTCTTCTTCCTGACCCAATTGGAAAGCTCTTAAGAAATAGATGATCCGCAACAAGTAGAAATAAATAAATAAATAAACAGATCACACGCGAGTGGAACCTGAGATTCTATTGTTCTCTTTAGCACATAATAACATATCATCTTATCAACAAATTCTACTTGTTCTTCTATCATAAAACAAATTTGAATAAGCAAAGTCAATTAGGAAATGGAAGAATCCAGAGGACACATTTACTCACATCGCCGGTTGAAGCAGATAATAGTGCCAAGAGGGTCACAGTTGCCGCTTGGTAATCTGTTAGGATCTTGTAGGCTGAATCTTCTAATTTATCCTGCAAATTTTGTTGAAAACATAGGTACACAACATTTGAACAAACATACGGTGACACGAACACTACAACAAACCTCTTTTAATAATAGCACTATCAAGCAGGGTAAGATAAATAAGCGTTCATTATTTACAAGATTCCAGGGTCGATCTTGGAGCAATAAGGGGGAAAAAAAAGGCATATATATATATATATACCTTTAGCCGAGTAATAGCAACAGAAATGGCCCTTCCAGGAGCTTGAAGAGCTTTGTGATAAAGCTATTCACAAGACATCCATGTTAGTAAACGGACCAAGGAAATTTAGTACATGCACGTCTTAAACAATGAAATCCAAAGAAGTGTAAAATCAAGTACCTGTATATACAATAGTGAAACGACTTTTGGCAGAAGAGAAACTGGATCTGTTTCGGCAGAAACTTGAGATGTCAAGTCCTACAAATGACATAATAAAGAGTACAATTATTAACAAAGGAAACCAACTAAACATTGAAACATAGTTATGCAATTCTCTACTATCTCAAACAAAAATCACCATCTTTCATGACACTATCAAACAGAAGGGAAGAGGAAGGAATGAGTGCAGTGCAAAAAGGAGAAAGTGGCTTCCTGCAGTAGCTTAATAATGCTTAAAAACAGATTTCAATAAGAACGAGAATGGCTTTTCTTTGATTCACATGATGTTTTCTTTCATTTCTTTCAGCCAAAAAAATAATTCTTTAAAATCATGAATACATCAGATAAACTTAGATATCAGAAACTTGCGGCCTACTTTTAATCAGCTTGCTCGGTAGTCGGTATGTAATACATAAGTGTGTAACAATTGAAAGTTGAGAACTGACATACGTGTGACTAAATATTCTTATAATTTGTTGAACAAGTTGAGCAGGATTTTTCAGTCGGGAAAATGAGGGGAAAAAAAAATTGGCAGGAATACCTTTCTATATGAATGCAGAAGTGTTCTCTCCAATTTCTTGTCAAGCTTTCTTAAGATTAATCCGCTGGAAAAAATCAAACAAAAATATACTTAGAATTTTTTAACACAGAAGGTCCCCAGTTCATTAAGCAACAACAATTTAATGAACAAGGTACGTCACTACCTTTCTTCTGCAATAGCTCTTAGTGCAATCATGAATGTTTCCACCCGCTGTCATGCAGAACCATTCAAAAATTTAAAGTTATATGAGGCATTGGTTTCATGATAATAAATCAAAAAACATAAAGTGTTCTTGAAAAACAATCTTCACCTTTCCTTCCAGAGCTTCAGCCACTGCAAGAGCCATATTCGAAAGAGATCCGGGAAAACTCTTAGCCTGCAAGAACGAAGGAGCTTAAAAAGGTTGACCATCACAACCCTGATGGTGAACTTGGGCAGAGATTTCAATTATCATGGCACAGAATTTCTAAACTACTCTCATTGACATATAGAAATGTTCAATGAGGTTCAGGATTATTCAATACCATTGCTGTTCTTTCTCCAGGACTAAGTGAAACAGAATCTGAAGTCTGAGGCTCAACTTCAACTCCATTCTTTAATTTGTTGTGCATATCCTAAATTGGATGAATTTATAACATCAGATCATCAGCCATACTCACAATACATACAACAATTCACGAAAGGACTGACAAAACTACCAAGTTATGGATGAGAGTATCTGCAATAGCTGAAGCTGTAGTTCTCAACAAATGCCGGTGCAAAATGACCTGTTAATATAGATTGTTAGGATTCTTTTACATATTTCACAGAAAGAGGGGAAAAAAATGTTCATCATAAGGAAAACTTACTAAAGTTGATTGGTCATCTTCAAACAAATCTAAGGCTTTTTCATAAAGTTGCATGTTCAAGAAAGACTGCGAAGAAGGGGAAGAAAAGCAAGAGAGAGAGCTCTTAGAAAGTTTATCATACAAAAGAATCCAACAAATAGATCTCAGTAACCCTTTAGAAAGAATTTCTTATGATTCGAAGGGACTACCACAGAGGAAAAACTTAAAATGTTTGCAGGCAAAGAAACTATTGTTAGTCCGCTAACCTCATCAAGCTTCTTTTGCAAATTGTCAAGCAAGTTTTTCATTTGCTCTGCATTTTCTGTAAACAATGCCTTCCTCCTCTGCTTCCAAAATTCGACGAGCTTAGGTCTCATATAGTTTGCTAAAGGTCTAACAATTGTCTCACAATCATCAATACCTGCGAAATTATTCCACTAATTTGGTCAAATTTGAGAATGAAATAAAAATCCTGATTCACTAATGGCTAATGTACAAACCCAAGATAAGAATTGATATACCTTGCTCTTCAAATTCAGGAACCAGCTTTGCAATTTTCTGCATTATCCATTCTTCTGATGGAATGTTGTAATTGTCCTCTGTTGTTTTAGATGATTGCTTCTTAACAGCTGCTTTTGAGTCTGACAGTTGCGAAGAAGAGGTATCCTTGCCTTTTCTCTGGTTTTTCTTAGATTTTGAAGTAGCACTTTCCTGGGTTTTTATACGACTTTCTGTTTCACTTGCTGCCACAGTCCCAGATGACTTGCCTCTTTTTTTCTTTGACCCTCTATCAGTGGCATGTTGACTACTGCCCATCTCACTACCAGTTTCATCTAAGTCAGTAAACCTGCTTGAATCATGTCCAACTTTAGTATCAGGCAGATCGCCTGACAGAATGGCACCAGAAGATTCTGAAACGCTAAGTTTTTCCATCTCCTTCTCCAGGCGATCGTACACATCCTAGTCAATGAAAAGACAGAAAATTAAAAAATATCCGATGCAAGCCATATCTATTTACATATGATGTGACTACGTTTTCTATTGTCATAATGGATCTAAAAGTTACCTAAATATCTTAGGTCTCTTATGTTTCAGTTGCTTTTAGAAAAAAAATGATTCAGCCAAAACGAATTAATGAAGAAGGATATATGAAGTCATAAAGGACAGAAGCCTATGAAGTCTATCACTCCTAACCTTGACCCACATATTGCACTGGGGTTTGCGTCTTTGCCCTTCATGGTCATTTTTTCCTAAATTGAACTTTTTATCTTAACAGTGTTGAACTACACCATCCATGAAGTTTTGAAGTAGGGTATAGTATAGAAATGTCAATATAAAGGCATAGCCGCATTGAGACATGAGATACATCTTCATGCCAAAGCTTCAGAAACCATGTCTATATTTCTTACAACTGCAAACTAAAACCCACCAAATACAGCAAACTCGGACTTCTTGTTTCATGTTTTACATTTATAAAACCAGCTGAAATAGTCAAGTAAATCAATCTGATCATATTGCCAACCCATTTATAACACCAACTATTTCTGGTACAAGCACTAGTATTATAAATTAAAAATAAATATATAAATAAACATGAAAATATCACAGGCCGTTTAAATTAGTAGCACAGTAATTGTGACCAACTGGTAGCTCGCAAACAAAGCACCTAACCATGTAATTTAAAGCCCTTACCTTAATAAAGCCATCGCTAAATAGATAGGACTCTCCAAAAATAACTGCCTTATTAGACTGTAAAGATATAGCAAGCCAAAGGTTATATAAATCAACATGTTGCAGAAGTAACGAAAAACTTCACAATACCAGAATTTCACCTTTAGAGCCAACTGAACGGAAGGACAAAGGGACAAAAGTTTAAATGCGTCTTGAGACCCAAAGGATGCAGGTAAGATAGAGAGAGCATCAATCCTGCATCAATTAATCCCATCCAATAAGACAAAGAAAGAAGTTGCTCCAGATTGCCTAAATATCCAATAGAAGTGTAGAACTAGTGAATTCAAGAACATAGTACTGCAATGAACTTTTCAGTAGAGATTTCTCTCACCAGCTACCACGTTCAAGAGTATCCTCAGCAGCAGCATCCAAAATCTCAATCAATGAGGGATGAACAAATGTAGAAACTAAAGCTGTACCTTCAGGATACCTGGACTAAATTAGTTGGCAAAACCACAAACTTCAATTAGACAAAAACTTAACAATCACCTTCAAGTGCAATAATATTCCGCATGTAGACAGTTAATGTCCTTCATTAATCCAGCATCAACATCATTGCAATTAAATACCTTCAGAAACTGAATAGGTTGGGGAATGCCAAGGTTTTGAAGAACCTCATAGCTCATAAAAGAATTCTGCAGCATTTTAAACGAAAAAAGGTAAGGGAGAGAAAGAGAGAGAGAGAATTAGAACTACTTTCAGAATACTCTTCACTATTGAAATAAACAATATAAAGGAGAACTTGGTAGTAAAAAAAATGAATCGGGTAAATCACAAATATCATAATTTCAAGTACAAAGTGCAATGATACAGTTACAAAGAGCAAGGAAAATAAGAGCTCAGTACCTGTGAAAAAAATGAATCAATGCATTCCTTCTGAGCAACAGCGAAGACCTGTAGCACAATTGCATATGACATAAACACAAACACTAATAAGCATACATGATATGCCAAATGTCGAAGTTCTCAATAAAATAATTAACTACTGCTACATAATTTAAAACAATGAAGGAGAAATCTGGACTGGCCGTCTTACATATGCGTCAATCTCTCCACAAATTTATCATCTCACACTCTATTATGTGATTTTATTAACCACTAAGTTTTGGTGATCACACTACTAAAACGACTGTCAACACATCAGGACGCACATCTCAAAGATACCCACAAGTACCATGTGCTCATAATATAACATGAAGAAGCAATAATAATACAACATAAGAACAAACAAAACTAGTACTAGTCTACATACAGTGGGCGTCCAATGAACTCCTGCTCGAAGTGACCCCAGAATCTGTCCTTCCTTAACAAGCCCATTAAACAGGGATTGGAAAAACGAATTATCAACAGCAACACCAGTCGTGCCATCCATTTCTTGCAGTAGTTGCTGCAAAGAACTCCACAGCATTGACAAATTTGTTGGGACTGTAATACCCCTGGAAGCACCACGAACCATGGCACTCACACGAGCAACATAAGCAGGAGTATACAATTGCCCACCTTCAAGCCTACCTTTCACCTAAAATACAAACAGTAACCCACATCATAACTCTTCTTTTATTCCTCAAAATTCACATAGAAAAAGGGTAATAACAAAAACCTCTTTAAGTGTCTTATCGAAATTTGGTGTTCCAATCTATGTTTTGAGAAATGCTACACTTATTCTCATGAGTTACAAATCATGCTAATGTCTATTAATCGGGTTCAAATGATCCTTAATATTTACAATTCGTGTTAAAAATGTCCTCAAAAATCGCGCTTTTAACATGATTTGTAAAACTTAAAGTATAAGTAAAGATAAGATAGATTGGAACACAGCATTCACAATTTCCATCAAAACACAAGAGAAACTTTTACTATTATCACTAAAATAAAAAATAGAAATAGATAAAAAATTACCAAAGTGCCAAGGCGTGGCTCCAACACTGAGGCAACCAATTCTAAACCCACATTCAACTGTGCGGCGAGTTCTGCTAGAGCAATCTGACTGCATTCTTGAAGCCTGTCGTTGATTTCTTCGGCAACGGAGTCCCAATAAAATTGCGATATAATTTCCCCTTGAATTAACATTAGCTCCGGGTCGTCCGAAACAATTTGGTGAGATTGCTTCTCCACATGGTACAAATCAACGCCGATAGTGTCCGCCAGATCAATCAACGAAACACGCCCTGATTTCTTGATCTCCGCCACAATCTCATGCCTCAATTGCTCCTATTGCACCACTCAACATCGCCAAAGTCAATTCATATAGCAGATAGAAACTCAGAAAATTTGAAAAGTTTTTATTTTCTCGGGAAACAAACAGGAGAAGTAATAGATAGAGAGAGAGAGAGATGCTGACTGACAGGAGTGATGTATTCTTTGCCGGATACGGTGTGGAGAAGGTCGAAATCGATGATGCGGAGCTCGTGAAGCTTCTGGACCAATTCGACGACGTTTCGGTCGGATAATCGGACGCTGGATTTTGCCTGCTGCGCAAACTCGAATTGTCTCTGCAATTCCAGCAATTCGTCGTCCATCTTCGGATCACCACAAACCCAGAACAGAAATAGTGTGCAAGTGCAAGTGGGGAACTTTTTTTTTTTTTTTTTTTTTTGGCCTTTTCAGAACTCGTGCTCGAGGAAGAAAAACACTGGTTAATGTTTTACGCAAAATCGGAGAAGACACGTTACTCGTTGCGAAACGACATGTTGTTCACTGCTGCCTGACAAAGTTTGCTGACACTTCAAGCATAGCACGACATGTCGTTTATTCTAATTTGTTTATTTATTTTTAAGTAGAATGCTTGAAATTTAAAAATTTTTAAAAAAAAGACATATGAAATTTATGTTGTTAATTGAAAAAAAGGGCATCTAGAAAACCAAAGAGGTATTTCAGGATTTTCCGTCGTTTAGAAAATTTATGTGTATGTGTTTTTTTTTCCTTGGAAGTTATCGTCGTTTATCCAGAAACGACATGTGATTTATAATTTAAGAATGACAAATTTTAAAATCATGTCGTTGATTTTAGAGCTTTGTGTTGGAAATAACTAATAAGAACATGTTGTTGGATTAAAACTTAGAGTTAGTGTTGTGTGAAAAAATTCACATCGACACGTCGGACAACGACTAGGCTATACGTGGCTCCATTCCTGCCACGTCATTTAGCCTTCGACGCCCAAGCCTCTTGGGTTTCTCCTGTATGGCATGAGAGCCCAATATATGACCGAGACCGTCGACCGTATGCACAGTCGAGGTCTGCGAGATCAGTCTTATGCAGAATGGTGTGATGAAGTCGACCGTGAGAGAAGATACCCTCGAAGGAGTCAGCATGGGCGCAGACGGAAGACTATAAGCAGTTGGACCCGCGTCCCAAGAAAGACCCCAGGGAAGGTTGCGTCTAGATTTGGAGAAGGTCAGTTGCATAAGAAATGATTACAAGCCCCTAAAACCGCCTGGAACGGATTACTAGCTATTACAGAGATCAACAGAGCCGTAATGGGAGGACAAATTTGATGAATGAACAGTCTAAAAGGTAATTGTTGGCTATGGTGTGCACAGAAGAGACCATAGGCCACTCGAGTGGACGGGCCCCACGAAGGATATGATCCACTGGTCCAAGCTGCCTACCATTGGGCAGGAACTGAGGCAGCATGGACTATAAAAGGAATGAGCCCCCAAGAGAGCGGAGGATGATGAACATCTTGTTCCTTACATACACAGTCTGTAAGAGCTCAATCAAGAGAAATAAAAACACAATGGATGTAGCCCTTGATTAACAAGGTGAACCATTATAAAATTCTTGCGTGTTCATACTTTCACGAGCATAATTTCGTTTTCTTCATATTCCAGTAAAAACACAACTGCAAAATCCAATATATTTACTAAAAACACAAGTTCCGAACCGGTAACCCAACGGGCCACTATGGGTAATCCGGCACGATTTTTATTGATGAAATTCCACCGTCAACAGTTAGATTTCGTTTCTTCACGATGTTTGTCATTGACGGTCAAAACTCAACTAACAAGATAAACTCTCATGTGATCTGCCAAACAAACTCAATGCTAAAACAAAAATACCTTTGTTTTAGTATTGTAGGGTATTGTTTTACAGTATACAATAGAATTCTCCTTTTCCTTTTTATCAAAGTAATGTTTGATAATGGGACTGATCCAAAACAAAACTAACAGAGTATTAAACAAGCGAAAATTAGACTGATTCAAAACAGTTCTATGGAATTGATCAAAATAGTACTAACAAAGTAATATAATAAAACCAGCCCCTCAGAGTTCCCATATATCACAATTATTTTAAAAGCATTATAATATTACTGCCTAGATAAATCTTCATTAAAAATTCTTGTGAAAGCTCTTTTCTATGTAAGATAATTATGTTTTTGTCCAATAGAACCAGGGCGGGCCAATGAAGGATGGTGGATTTGTCTCCTGGACCAAGGTGTTCTCAAACGAATGATAGTGACAAAATTTTGGGTTGTTGGGGTCTAACATTTCTGCTTCAAACGATATGGACAAAACAATCCACCACTTGCACATCTAGATATGCTTTTGCAATAATTTCTCAAACTGAAAAGCAATTGAAGACAGCGACTGGCCATTTCAATATCGTACGTGTTTTTATGAATGGTTTATGAATTGGCATCCTCGCATAGCTTCCCAATTATGGCTGAGTTGTCAAAATACATCTCTACTTGGAGAAAAATATGGAGTTCCCAATTTTCAGCTTCAACCTCCTTTTCTTTGCAAACAAATTATTGGAGTACTTCTTTAAATACCTAAAATTTGCCCCAACTTTTGTTTGCTCCTCCTTCAAAGGTCGGTTTACACGTTTGTTCCTTGTTCTTATTGTTTTTGGTTGTGTAGAAACTAATATTAAATGCAGAAACAAACAAAACAGTTTCCCTACTTATATTGACTCACCCTTTGTATCAATTTAAGCAACTGTGCTATTGACTTACAATTTTACAAGCATTGAGAACAAAATACAAAGAATTTAAAATGGGATTAAGCTCTTATTATTTAGTTCAAGTAACATACTTAACCAGCAATGAGTCGGTGCAGTGATAAGAATATCTTTTCTTATTTGTTTTTAAGATGTTTAATTGTAAGAATTTACTTGAAACTTTGCTCATCCTTCTTCTGGTAGAATTGGATCAATGCCCTTTCCGTGTCATTAGTGGACCTAAAAATTCCTTCCACGGATAAAAGTAATGAGCCTCGGATATATGCTCAGAACATTAGAATGGAGTATGTCCTAACTATTATAGTGGGATGACTTGAACCTAATACCCTTTTGTCAAAGCACGTGTGCCTTGGACTAACCAGAGATGCTACATTCAGTGCTCGGAAAATGGACATTTTTATATACCTGATGATGATGATCCATTAGCCTTTGGATTTTGCCAAAACAAAAATTCTCTGGCGAAAAAGCAGAGTGTCTACTTTAAATAAAAATTAAAAAAAAATTATCAAATGGCGTACATTTTCTTATATTCACTATTCAGAATCTCGGATTCCGACATGACTGACAAGGACAAAGACCTTGACCTGCTTCCCATGGAAGACTTACGAATGCTCCTCAAATTGGAAGCCTCAATTCTGTGTCTTATCACCCAATAACACATGGTCCCCAGAGTCGTAGCCATTATAGTTGTTCCTATGATGGTCACTCCTATGGCCAACCACTTCTGTTTCTCCCCAACGACCACAAAAGAAAGCGCTAAAAACGCCACCGAAACCAGCACGCAAGCCAGCCACATGAGCTTGTTGATCACCGCCATCATCTGCTTCTTCGCCTTGCTTTCGATCACCACGACCGACGTCTGCACGACGACGACGGCGAGAGATATGAACAGCGCAATGGCGTCGAATACGAAGAAGATCAGGAAGGGAACTTTGGAAGCGATCCTGGCCTCTCCGAGGGAGAATCCCGGAGGAATCTGCTTCGGGTCGTCTACGTACTGCCCCGGGACGGTGAATATGGCGGCGAAGGCGACGGTGGCGATGAGGACAGCGACGACCGTCGTCGAGTTTATCGCGTTGTTGAGTCCCTCGGCGTGCATTTTGTTGAGGCGCTTGGCGATGCCTTGGACCCGCCTTCTCGTCTGGCGCGTGTGCTCCAGCTGGTAGTGGACTTCGTGCTTAATGTCGCTCACCGTTTGTTTCAGCTCGCGGGCTGTGCTCGTCGTCGCCTGCGGCTTCATAGTTTTGGCGCTCTGCACGCCGTGCTCCTGAAGAATGGCTGAGATGTTGCCGTTCCCGGTCTTTTCCGCGGTGTCTATGGCGGTTTCGCCGGACCTGTTGACGGCCATTTTATCGGTTTCGCTTTGGCTGAGTAGCAGTCTCACTATCTGCGCAAGTTGGATCAAGTGACTTTGTTAATGCCCAGTCTATAGTAATACCTAAAAATGAACTTATAGAAAATATGAATAGTTAATGGTTCGGTTCAGTGTGTTGAACTTTTGAAAATCTGAAAATAAGAAAATCTGGCAAATGGATTCCTCAATGACACAGTTTTAATTTTTTTTTCTCTTACTGGTTTTCAACAAGGTTTAATCTTGATACAAAGTTTATTATTTTTTGGCTTTTTTATGCCATTTTCCCACTTATGAACGGTGGCTTTACAGTTTTAGTAATATAAACATAGATAGTCGCCGAACAAAATCATGTCTGCGCCATGCATTACCTCACCTACAGTGTTAAATTGTTTCTGAAAGATCACTTATTTTAATTTATACCCAAATTGATTGAGAAGTGTGACGTAACATAATATAAAGCAAGCAGTTCCTTGAAAATTAACCATATAGTCATATATGTCAAAACTTTTGATATATCAATCAGCAGTTCAACTTGAAAGCCAGAGTTCAATTGGATTGTCCATACTATTAAATACTAATTAGCAAGACGAAAATGATTAAAATAAAAAAACCATGCATGTAACAGGCAAAGTCCATTTCATTTCAGATATTAACATATTTGACCTTACTGAAAATGCCACCAGACGCTGATAAGACTGCCGATTGAAAAGTCTTGGTCAATGAATGAAAGCCTTGAAAAAAGAGGCTGTTCTAAGGATTTCACTAGGAACACTTAAATCAAATAATGGTACAAGATTCTTCCTCATCTCAGGTCAAAATATTAAACAAAAATTAGCTCTTATTATATCCTAGTTTTTTTATTTTATTTTTTAATTTCAAGTCAGATTACATTGGCTGAAGTGACAAGATATATATGACTAAGGACTAACTGCGTTTAGATACTAACTTCAAACAAATTCAATTGTAGTTGATTTATTTCTTTTTTTTTTCTTAACTCTCCCACTTTTTTATTCCATCTCTCATCGCCCATGGCTCTCAAAGTTTGACTCTACTAAATTAAATGAACGAGAGCAGAGTATCTACTATCTACGCAGCCTACATCATAGAGTTGACTTCTCAATTTAGAGTGAAAGATGCGTATATCTACTAACAAAATCATTTTTCTGTTCAATGATCACTTAGAAACAATCCAAGATAATTAGGAAATAATTCAATCATGTTTCGTGTTTAATCTGATCAACAATAAGGTAAAAGTAAATGAACATAAAGCTCTTATCATAGAAGGTCGAGGAAAAAGGTCAATTTACCTGAGCTCTACCTTTTCTGGTAGCTATATGCAAAGCGGTATTGCCTTTAGTGTCAACCATGTTTATGGTTGAAGGATCAGCCTTGATCAGCTCCTCCACAACCTCAAGATTCTGCCCCTTCACGGCCATGTGAAGCGCGGTCTGCCCTTTCTTATCGGTGCGTGTGGCGAGGCTAGGCTCCTTCTGGAGAAGCGCTTTCACGACCTTCAAATGCCCGTTTCTCGCCGCGGAATGCAGTGCGGTTTTCCCATTACTCCGAGCGATGGTGGCAAGGCTACTTCCTGCTTCCAACAAGAGACTCACTGTCTCACTATGCCCTTGCGTTGCAGCCGTGTGAAGGGCCGTGGTGTTCGATACATCGACGGTCATGGTTAGCCCCGGATGGGCCTCCACAAGGACTTTAAGCACATCTGAAACAGAACAGAACTCAAAAAAATAAATAATAATAATAATAATGATAAGTTCTAACTCTTAAAACATAAAAACAGATGAAAATACTTTGTCGAATTGGTTGAACAGAAAATAGACATGGAAATTTGACAGAGAATACAAAGACCCACCTAAATCTCCTTGTTTGGCAGCAATGTGGAAAGCGTCAAATCCATTCCTGGCTTTGATTCCGGCGTCGGCAAGATCATAGTACTGTATCATCTCCTTGACTAAATCAACATTTCCATATTCCGCCGCGACATACAGGGCGGTCTCGCCGGACTGATTTTGCTTCGACAAGTGCTCCTTCAACTCAGCCTCTCCGGCGCCGGTGAGGATTTCTCTCACGACGGCGACGTTTCCTGCTCTCGCCGCGGAATGTAGCGCAGAATCGTCGCGTTTTCCGGTGAGTTGCTTGGTTATCTTCTTCCTCGGTGGGCTTGGCTGCCCTGCCTGCGGCTGCGCAGCTGTTTCCTCCATTGGCTCAACAAGTACAACCCTTTTCTTCTAGAAATAATTTGACGATCACTAGCTCAAGAATTTTCTCTCTTCTTTCCGGTGAAAATCCAGATCAAATTTTGCATTTTTGTTCCGCAACGATCATCATTTCTTCAAAGAAATTTAAAAAAAAAAAAATCATCCCTTGAATTGTGATGAAACTCAAAGGATGAAACAAAAGTTTGCGCTTTGAATTCTTGTTTATCTCCCATGTACTATTCCGATATCTCCTGCATCAAAACTAGTGCCATGTTAATAAGAACGATCTGGATTTAAATCTTTGTTACAAATTGCATTTCCTGGTAATCCAGCTTCAAAATAAAGTACCCCACAAGCAAAAATATTGGGGTTTTTCCACCATATCACGATTCACTTTTTCGTATACTACAATTGAGATGGTTTTGGAGAAAAAGAGTGGAAAAAAGAAAAAGAAAATGATTATATTTACCTGGGCTTGAAAGAAGGAGCTTCTGAAGTCTCCTCCACTCACCACCAAAGAATCCATACATATGATTCAGAAGTAGCTTCTGGAGAATCGAGGGATCAAAAAAAAAAAAACACCCTGAATGATGAAACCGAATTCAAGGAATATATATGGAGAAAAAAGAAACACAAACCTTTGATAAGGCTTTTAATTTGGAAGAAGAAAGGAATAATTATGGTCTACGAGTATAAAAAGATACATCGAACGCGCATGTATTTTAAACTTTTGGGGAATCTAATCACATCTGACATCCCAGAGCTAACATACGAACAATCTAAACCAATAAACCAATAAAGGAAGGCCTTCTGTGAAAGGTGGTGATGATGACAACATTAACTTGGGTGGAGAGAGAAAAAAAAATGAAATAAACAAAGTGGGAAAAAAAACCAAAAAACAAAAGGTTGAGAATCAAAATGAGCAAAAATGAAGCAAGAGAGTGGCCTAACCAAAGGTGACGGCCAATGAAATAACAGAAATAACAGAACCACGCGCATTACAGCTTTTTATTTATTTATTTATTTATTTTGTTTTATTCTTATTATTAGTGGGCAATTTTCACAAAGAGGAAACACACCAATAATAAGTTTTAATCTCAATTTAATTGAGATCGATTATATATATTTCACTTTTTCATATAGTTCTGTTCGAAATTAAACTTTCTTGAACGCCTAAATTTAGAATGCCTCTCTTAACGATTTCGGTCCACATAATTCTTGATCTACCCCTCTCTCTCATAGTATTTAGTATAAGAATGTCCTCCCAAATACGAACTGGTGCTTCTAACGGTCTACGTTAGACATGTCCGTAACACCTCAAGCGGCATTCGCACACATTATCTTCTATTGGTGCTACACCTACTTTACTACGAATAACTTCATTCATTATGCGATCCATTCTCGTATGGCCACTCATCCAGCTTAACATACACATTTCTGCCACACTAGTCTTAGATATATGTTGTCTCTTAATGGTCCAACATTCACTACCATATAACATAGCTGGGCGGATTACAGTCCTATAGAACTTTCCTTTCAACTTCATAGGCATCTTGCCATTATATAAAACTCTCGTAACATTCTTTCACTTAACCCACCATGCCTTAATCCTATGTTGAATATCCTCTTTTATATCTCCTCCGTACTTCACTATAGACCTAACGTACCTAAACTTCCTAGAAGTCCCAATATCCACATCATCTAAAGAAATTGCATCGCTCTGATTACTTGAGTTACTAAACCTACAATGCATGTATTCCATTTTCGTTCTACTTAACTTAAATCCCTTCATCTCGAGAGTCTGTCTTCACAGTTCTAACTTACGGTTAACTCCTTTCCTATGTTCATCAACTAAAACTATATCGTCCGCAAAAAGCATACACCAAGGAACTCTATCTTGGATTTCTCTTGTCAACTCATCCATCACGATGGTGAAAAGATAAGGACTAAGAGCAGATCCTTGATGAAGGCCAATCTGAATGGGGAACTCTGCCGTGTAGCCTCCAGCAATTCTCACACTCGTGATCACCCCATCATACATGTCCTTAATTACCTTAATATACCTCACATGCACTCCTCTCTTTTCTAGCACCCACCATAAAACTTCCCTCGGCACCCTATCATATACCTTTTCTAAATCTATAAAAACCATATGTAGGTCTATTTTGGCTTCTCTATACCTTTCCATCAGCATCCTAAGAAGAAAAATGGCTTTCGTGGTTGATCTGCCTGGCATGAAGCCAAATTGATTACCTGAGATGGTAGTTGTGGCCCTTAATTTCCTTTCGATAACTCTCTCCAAAAGTTTCTTAGTGTGGCTTATTAACTTTATGCCCCTATAATTATTACAATTCAGCACATCTCATTTATTCTTGAAGATGGGGACAAGAATACTTTTCCTCCATGCATCAGGCATATG